TTGACATCTAGCTAGTTGCTCCAAGTCTATCATGTAGTTGTTAGTGTGTTCAATAAATCAGAACAAGAACTTAAATAGAAGCAAGGCTTTTCATTTTCAGCAGCTGATGGCCACTATGGCTTATCTCCAAGGATGCCTCTTCCCACTTTTTTTGAGTATGACTTTTCTAGCAAGTATTTGGAGACTATATTCCATGAATGCTTGTTGAATTAATGCATGTATACCAATCCCAATGCCCTGCCCCAGTCTGTTCTTTTCCTGTATTTTCTGTTCTCGACATCTGGCATCATCCGAGAGTCCTCTTTCTCATTCACCTTCCTTAATACAGGCAGCCAACCTTCCACTGACTCCAACTCTTAAAACTGCTCTCATATTTGTTTCCTCTACTTTCACCACCATAATTCACCTCTGTCTTAAGGATGGACTGGAGGTCAGCCAAAACTAAACAAAATACTGTTGTCAAGATCAGGTCATCTTGATAAAATGTAAATTTAATTGAGTTTTCTTCACTGCTAACTATTCTTCACTGGCTCCCCATTACTTGTATGATGAAATACCAAACGCCATAGCACGTAGGCCTTCAAAACGTGCTTGTTGCTCCAGCCTCGGCTCCCACTTTGTATTGCAGTGATGATCAACCACACACAACTCTCCACAAACATCACACTTGCTCCTTGCTTCACAAGGCGTGCCTCCGCACAAGCTATTCCCGCTACCTGGGAATGCCCCGCCCTAACTCCTCCAATATCTGAACAAGGCTGTAAATCACAGCTCCTTAAGCAAGTTTTCCCTCCTCACTAACCTTCCGGTCAACACATTTCATTTTCATCATTTGCTTGTTTGGCTATTCCAGCTTATGAGACTGTAGAGAACAGGGTCTGTCTTATTAGTCTTGGTACTGTGAGTAAGTAAACGTGGGTTACTCAAACGTTAAATCACACACAGAGCGAAGTAGTTTGTTCCTATTGCTAAATCAGTTCCAAGGAAATACAGAGCTTTTTATAGTAGGAAAGTTTGGAAGCAGTCTCTAAAAATGCTTATACTTGTGAAGCTACTTTAAATATTTAGCAATATTGCCACAGAAGCTATATGCACCTAACTCTTAAGTGATAAGAAAAAAATGGTTATATAGTTAAGTTTAAAATAAGAGGGAAAAAATTTTAATTTATTCAAGAATGAAAACATTCTTTTTGAAACTTTATACCTAGGCTGTTGACTGCTGGGTAGCCTGATCATACCTAATACTCAAATATTTTTTGCAATGAAAAGAAATGAGGAGAGTATCATCTCACTTCTAGTTCAGGGTTACGTGGCTGCCGATAAAAGGCAGACATCAGTAAAAGGAGGGGTTTGCAGGATCAATCCAGAAAGCAGGTAATCTGTGAGTAGTCCAGAACTGAGTAGTTATCTCCACTGCCAAAACCCTCCTTCCCACAGCAACTGAGCAAGATAATTACTTTTAAGTCAAGCTGTTTGGTCCTCAGTCACAATGGTCCAATACTAGCAAACAAATAATTCTCATTCTGGTGTAATAATGACAATTTTCTTAGAAGAAAAGCAAGTAACATAAACTTTGCAAAATCTTCCTGAAACATCTGAGTAATTTGACTTCTTTAGAAAAATTACATTAAGTAGCAAACCATCTCTAATAAAAACTCCATTCCATAAACTCATACCAGGTCCTACACATATCTGCAATCACTTCTATAAGGGAAAATATATATGTGTATATTAGACTCACAGCTCACAATCCACATGATTAAAATGATGCCAGCCCTACAAATTAAAAACCAAGTACTCTTTCTCAGACCATTTTTAAAGAATATTTTTTTCTTGACCATAGTTCTGCATTTGATTTTAAGGATGAACAGTGTCAATATTTTCTCATTCCTGCAAGGAGCATTAGTTCCGTGGAGAAAAAGTGACCACTTACCTTGTGATGCTATCAAAATAGTCCTTAACAACTATCATTGTGGTATACCTGCTTTCTAGAACAGACAGATTAGACTAACTGCCCAAGGATCATTGCTTCTTCCATTTGTCTAATGACAAGATCAGGAGTTTCTAGGCTATAAACTGGGTTTTACAATTCAAAAGTGACCAGAATTCCTAGCAATCTACAGACTTCTTAAAATATCTAGCCACATACATTGCAGTGGTACCAACTTTTGATTCTCAGGAATCAGAATAAACTGATGAATCGTGACACTACAAGTCACCGACAGCTAAAGCTCTATAATTAAACAAATAAATAATTATAAATGCAGTTCTAAGAGTTATAAATGAGCTGTTCTTCAAAAGCGCATTCTTCCCCATTGAAAATCCATTTCCTTTTCTTTGTAGCTGAAAATTAAGTCATTATAACACAATCAAAAGACTGTATAAATCAAATAAGCAATTTTGCTTTGTGCTAAACATCGTAAATTGTAAGTAAATATAACCATGGTTAAACAGTAATATCACTACCATTATTATAATTTATAATTATTTTAAAATAGAATTAATGAAAATCCAAAACACATTCAACCCCACGCCCCAGAGACACAAATTTTTACATTTAGAGAATGGAAACGTCACCTTTCACTCATGAGTTCATCTGAGACCTTTTGTTCTTCATACTCCATTTTGTCCTTACCGGTCTGGCTTATTTCCTCGCTTTCTAAAACTACGCCTTCATCTTGGATTTTTGGTCCTTGCCTAGCTATTTTCAGTTTCCTTTTTTTGACCTTGTTCCTGGTGAACTCGTGGTACTGGTACGCTCTGTTGTCATTGTCCATGTCCTGATCCCTGGAGCCGTCCAGGGGCTGGGTCATGGTCCTTTTGCTGGCGCTGTCCTGGGGCAGGTCCACGGCCATGCGCTTGACCTTCCGTCTCCTGCGCAGAGCTCGGTTCCCGAGGCTGTCCACGGCAAAGTCCGACTCGGGCCACAGAGGTCTTTTCCCCCGCACGTTATTATTCAAGCTGGAGGATGGCCGGCGCTTTGCCACCAACATCTGGTCGTCAGAGTCACTGTGATCCTTCTTATTATTATTGTGATTCTCTCTGTAGTCCTTGCTTGGTTCTTCTAAACTAGAATCAGAGCCTTCGCTTAGGCAGTGACCCGTCTCCCACGGGTGGTGCACGTTATACGACCTTCGTTTTCTCCCCCTCCGCTTCCTCGCCTGGCGTTTCAGAGGGCAGGATATACTTCTAGAATGGTCTCCCGTTTCAGCAAAGCCACCTCGAGCTTGCTCTGAGCTCTCCTCCAACGCTGAGACGAGATCGTGAACAAGTTCTTCCATGGTTCGACTGAAATGCCTACGTTTTGTTAAAGAGAGAGAGAGAAAAAAATGGAATAGTCGGTATTAACTGTATTAACCTAATTTATTATAGCAAATAATTCACTCTAGAATTAAGAGTTATTATAAGGAAATGTTTAAAAGCTGCTTCATTTTCCTATCCAAGATATCACAGTTTCAAATATTCTGATTCATTTTTAAGCTTTTTCTTGTATCAGTTCTTTTATTAAACATAGGAATTACTTCCAGAAGGAGTAAGCATAATATCAGCGATGAAAGATTGGAGTAATTTTACATTTTTACTATCTAATTATGGAAAAGTTCTTGCTGCTTAAATCACCATACTTTGGCCTGCTCCTGTCCTTTTCCTAGGGCAGACAGAGAGTAGAGAGAAACTTCTCAATCCCCCTGCCACCCAACTACACATACATACGTACTGATTTCTAAGTAAAGAAGGAAACATACAACCCTCTACTCACCACATGCTCTACCCAGTCACTGCATGATACATGAGGTAGACAGAAAGATAGGCAGATCTGTAATTTATGAGATTTGTAATATACTGGATTATAATATTTAGGAATATTATAATATATGGGAAAAGAAAGTTCAACCAAATACTAGGCATATATCTAGGCCACATGAATCTCATAACCCAGTGAAACAGAAATTATGTTCATATTCAATCTGGAGCCCCACTGGTCTAAAATGGCCCATCATTTTTCTTACAATTATTCTGAAGCAGTCTCCTAGGCCTTTAGAAAAAAAAACTGAACTATATTAGCAGTGAGAAAATCATTCAGCAGTCAGCAAGGGTAAACATTAGTATTTGTTGGGAATATTTATAACTTATATGGATCCCTTCCAAAGCCAACTTCCAAAAATTCTACCTAAGTTGTTGGGATACAGGGCCTAGCCCTTGATTTTATTTTTTAAACATTACAGGTAATTCGAATATGCAGCTTTCTTATGAAGATCGTAAACAATCATTTCTTACACTGAGTTCAGAAGCACCTAGGATCAAAATATTCTCAATTATAAAGGGCTGAATAATTTCTAGAGTCTACAGCGTAGGTAGACACATTTTTCTGTAAAGGACCAAATAGAAAAGAGTTTACACTCCATAGGCCAGTAGGTCTCCGTCACAACTACTCAATGTCTCCTGTCGTGAAGCCAAAACAATCATAGGGAACATGGAAATGAATGGGTGTGGCTGTGCTCTAATAAAGTTTTATTTACAAAATCAAGTGATGGCCAGCCATAGTTTGCTGACCCCTGGTCTATTCAGTCTCTAGTCTATAATTTCAGGCACTCACAAGTTCCCTAAAACAATGGTCAACTTGGCCATTTCAATGAAAGCAAAGACACGTGATTTGACTGGATTTAACATGTACAATAAAAAGCACATATACGGCTTCTAACACTTGAGTACTTATTATGTGCTGGGCCCATTTCTCAGTGTTTCATATGCATTACCTCATTTCATTTTCACATAACAACCCTATAAGGTGGTAGATGATATACAAAGGGACAGAGATTTAAGGGCAGCTTGCCCAGAGGGACACATCTAGGAAGTGGTAGAAACAGGGTTCAGACCATGGCAATCTAGTTCCGGAGCCTGAATGCTCACCCAGCTGTAGCCAAGAACAGCTAAATGATCCCAGTAGCCAGTCTGCATTATTGTGTATGATTGATTTAACAGCAAGAGATACTATTTATTGTTGAGACATATTTAATATACATGAGTGTAAAGCCAATGACTCACAGTTAAGCATTCTATTCTTTGAAACAGAAAAAAGGGATGGGAGACCTGAGTGAACATAAGGCACTGGGCAGTCAGTACAGGTGGTGAGAGTGAGGTGAACTCCGAGAACCAATGAAGTAGTCGTCAGTAAAATGCAGTTAACTCTGAGCAGTTAAGTAACAGAACAGTTAATGAGGGTTTCTGTTTTCCAGATCTATCTTCTTTGACATTCTGAATGAATAAACAAAAAGTCTATCTAGACCCGTATTTTTCAAAAACATGGTGATTCAAATACATACTTTAAATGAACTAATGAACTCTGGAGGGCCACTAAGATTTTTTTTTTCCTTTAATGGGGTACTATATATTACTCAGGGTCCAGAACACTGCATTTATTGAAAGAAATTATATCACATAGGAATTAGCATTAAGCTAATACAACGGCTACAACTCTGACTACAATGATAAGCCAAATGGGTCTTTCTCCATTACCTAAATGTTAATAATTGCCTTTTTGTTTTCCCTTTATTGCAGTAAATATTTTGCTCTTTTCCTTGAACACTATTTCTTTGGAGGAAATGAAATTTGAGAATTATCTCTGAATATAATATCCACCTTCAAAAAAATTCACTGGAAGCCAGTTTAACACATACTACAATAAAGATCCTCTGTCTAAAAGAAGACTCTACCACCTGGTTCTGGAGCTTTTTGAATAGAGAATTTTCTTATCAATGGGTGAATGACTAGCTCTAAATAGTAATATGAAATTAACTCAATGCACGGATATAATCTCCAACTAAAATTGTGGTTATTTTGGAAGTTACAGTTAGTACTTTACTTTAGATGAGAAAATTTGGTGGTCCTAGCATTAGAAAAAGGTTATCACATCAGATTTAATCCACTGAAGTTTGATACTATTCATTTAACCTCATTTAAATTAATCCATTAGTACTGCTGTAACTAATGCAGTGTAACAAAATATAACCAATAATCTTACTAAAAGTGAAAGCAAAATCTATTTAATTTTATATTGTTTTACTCAAGAAAAAATAAAATATATTTTAAAGATATTTTAACATGAAGAATCTAATTTATTCCACGATATCATTCAAACATGAATCAACTAAGAAACTTTTTTTAAAAAACCTATAAAAACACAAAAAGAACATTTAATTTAAGTGACATTCAGAGTGCAAATCACTTTTTTCCCTTTAGTTTCAGCTAACCAGAGTCCTGCAATTCAATCTGAACCAAAACTCCAATAAATGAGCCAGGATTATTTCAGTTAGTCAAGCTGCTTCACTTATACTTCTCAGGTAAAATTGGCAAAAACTCGCCTCACAGAAATAAAGCCATTATAAGAGACCATCACGTGATCAATAGCTCATTTATTTCCTTTGCCTTGGCAGTTATTGAAGACCAATGCCCTGAATCATTTCAACCTAAAGATATTGTCTTAAATAAGTCCTTTCCTACTAGAGGCAAAACTTGAGAATATATAACTTTTCTGTACAAAAATCTATGCTGATTAAGCAGCCATAGTTTTAGTTTGAATTACAGAAAAATCCAGTGAATTACCACTTAGTTAATCTGAAACAATTTCCCTTTAGTGGAACTTACTGGAAATGAAATCTTCGGGGAATAGTTTATGCTGAGTACAACGTCTAAGATCACTCGCTAATAGTTTTCTTACACTCGTCCAATGAACAGAATCAAATTATAGTCCCACTATTTATATACAGTTGGATGTTGTAAAAGGAAATGACTTCAGTAGATAAGCATTTCATTTTTTCAAGTGGTATTAGATTATGCTGAGCAATATAAAATGTATGATCAACCCAGAATTTGATATGACAGTTTCAGGTGAGAATATTTGGCCAAAGGTCAAGTTTGTTTGTTTGTCCTCTTCTAGGCAATACTGGACACCCAGTAAAATCAGTGACTTGCTCTCCTTGGCTTCTTTAATGCCAAGCTCCTATTAATTCAGAAAAAGGCCTTCCTGAAAAACGAATGTTCTGAAGCGAGGAAGATCAGTTAACGTAGAAAACACTGCACTGAATTTTAGGTTTTTTTCTTTTCAAATGTTTTTGGTTCAAGAAAGAAGAATCAAGAAGCTGCCCTAGTCCTAAATTACTGTTCATACGCCCCCAAAGAACTGGCAAGATGACTGAAGATGAACCAAGGGCTCTCAACTGGCAGCCAACAATGCAGCGGCAGGTACAGCAGGAACTGAAGCCGCAGAAAGCCCAGAAAACAGATCCCCCCAACACCCAACAACGGACTGTTCTGTCAATGACTGCTACTTTTTTGAAGCCCGTATTAGCAATGACCACTATTCCTAAAAGGGAAAAATATAGCCTATGTAGAAAAATCAGTCAGGGAATAATTTCCTTGCCTAGATACTGATAAAAATAACTATAACAAGAAGATAGACATGTGTGCCTACTGAAGAAACCCAAGTTCATCATAAAACATAGAAAACAAAAAACATAAAAAAATTTTCCAGTACAACTAAAGGGTAATTGACTAAAGCTACCAAATATCTAGCTAAGGAAAAAGAAATCAAATACTCCTTATCATCTCATACATGGGAAAATTCTCATCTTCATCTTTGGACTATCTCTCCCACAAAATTAAGTCATTTTAGAAGTGGAGTGCTAAAAATTACCTGCTGATAAATACAATTGTTTAATTGGCTTCAAAAATTTAAGGGACTAGCCATTTATGCATTAAGTTTTGTATGGATCAAAATTCAGTATATACAGAAACATTGAACTAACAGTACACAGTCAAGAACTACGCTGATGAGTGTATGACTATCACAAGCTTAAGAAGAAAACAGTCTTGGAATTAACATGCCTTGATATTCATGTTAGTGCTTATTTACGATAGGTAAGGTTGGTTGGTCCTAAAAGCATATAGCAAATAGCCAAACAGTTCATATTAAAATGAACACACAATAGTGTAGACTGTGACAGTGGGTGTCTATCAGCAGGAAAATGATAAGCCTCAAAGATGCCACATCAAGGGCTAAACTTTATGACTAATTTAACAAAATATGATCCAAAAGAATTATCTTAAGGTTGATTAAGATTTCTGCTGCTCATAGGACTTTATGAATTTCCTTCCTTAATGGTAACATTATTTGTCAAAGTAAGTCCTTAACTCAGCCGAGCAACCTATTAGGAGATTGTATCTTCAATTTTCTCCTTTTATTTATTTTGGCGCAGATCATCTTAGGAACTTAAGAATAACTCTAACATTAAATGGTAACACTTGAGCTAGTTTAGAAATGCCTTGACCTACCTATTTAAAACATTAATCAGAAGCAATCTTTTCTCTCTTTTCAAAAAAGGCAGCACGGGTGTGCAGGAATCTATCTTATCTGAAACATGAAAATGATTAATTGTAACTTTACATTGACACTAGGCAATAAATATGGAATAGAATTCTCTGGGGGTGAAAAAAAGGCTGAGAGGACACTGCAGAGAACATGAGCTTTAAGACTCAAAGCTAAAATTTGGAAGCTAATTTGTACTATACTCAATAGCCATAACACCTTGGACAAATTACTTATCTTCTGATTCTGTTTATTCATCTAAAAATGGGTACTTATGTGTGAGAGCTGTTATTTCACCTTTCAACAACCTCTACACACAAATAAGAGGAAATTGTCACTGAAATATCAAATCATGAATCCTGAGTATATAAAAATAAAAGACCCATCAACTTCTCTGAGTTCTCAAACCACTCTGAATGAGGGACGGAGAAGAGATAATAGACATTTGCAAAAATCTTGCATACAAGTTCAAGAAATTCATGTACTTTCTGAAAGACTTTAATGAATTAAAAAAAAATCTTAAGGAAAAAAAAAAGTAATGCTGTGTATCTGACCTATGCCTATCCTAATAATATACAGGTATAGGGAAAAAAAGATGAAAGGATATCATCATTCCAAAATAAGAGTCACAAGTTTCACCACCAAACAGAAGAACTCATTTTCCATAATGGAAGCAAAAGCTCCTGACTTGAACTTAACTGGAGGTGCTGCTGGCAGCTGGTTCTTTGTCACTTTTGTCACCAGGGGAACACTCAGAAAGCTCTCTTTCTTCCTTACTCTAGCAACTTGAGAAAAAACAAATCCTTCACAGCTTTAAGGGGAAAAAAATCTAATTCCAAATAATGCTTTAATAAAGCAAGCTCATTTATTATTTAAATTTGAAGAACACTCTTTTGATTTTCTTTTTTACTTCATTTAACAGCTTTAAGAGTTATTCAAACTTCTTGCCTTATACTCTGATCACTTTCAAAATGTAAACTATTGTTTTTAAAAATGGCCTAGGTGAAATAAAGTCAAAGTCTAAAACAAACAAAAATAATTTGGGTCTACAAATAACTCATTCCAATTTTTATATTTTAAAGAGCATCGAGGCAACGTTCTAATACTGAGGAAGTGAGTCTCGATCATTACTCCTACTTGATGACTACTCTATATTTATTGAATATACAATATATTGTAAATTCCTAGAATAGGAATGAAAAGGAAGACAACTGAATATTAATTATATGTGCCCAGCAGAATACTTGATAGACAACAGATGTAAAAAAAAAAAAGTCTGCTGGATGAACAAACCAATGAATGACTAAATCAACAAACAACAAAGGGAAAATAAGATTTGGACAATCCAGATTTCAAACTGAAACAGAAACGTGATTTAAACAAATCCGACAGTATGGAATTGCGTTCAAGACAAAAGATCAAAAAAAAAGCAGTTATTTAAAAAGCATATTTTCACTCTGCAGTTTTCCAGACCCAAAGAAAATCAAAATACTAAATAGAAATGAAATTATAGAAGAAAGGTCCAGAATCAATAGTTATTTTTAACTTTTTTTTTAAAAAGCAAAGCCACATAAAGTGAAATAGATACTAGCACTTAATATATCAATGATTCAATAGTTTCATTATCAAGAACTAAACTTTTAAATTTTTAGTTCAACCTTTAAAATCTTTCCCTCAAACCCCTCAGAAATTGTCTTTAAATATAAATCACTAATAAAGTAAAAAGTAATAAAGAAAAGTGTACCTAAATTCTAAATGTGATTTATCCACTAAAGGAATCAAAATTTAAAAGGCAAGTTAGGTACCAAAATAGATACTTTTTGGACCCTACTTTCAAAACTGTATGTGAATGAGGTGTTAGGAAGGGAACATAGATATTCTCAGTTATAATCGTCTTATAAAAGTATAATATGAACTACTTACAAGAATAATTTGAACATTTAAAAAAAATTCATTTCCTAATGCACAAAAAAATCATAGAATTTTTATTATTTAATTGTTTAAAGATTTTCTTCTTTAGGCTTTTAAATTATAAAATATCAGTTCTACTTTTTAGAAAATGATTAAGAAAGAGATAAATCATCTACATTCACCCATGTGGTGCCTGAAAATAGAAAAACCTTGAATATTGGAGAAAAAGTTGAAGTCAAGATGGGATTTAAATATATCAGAAATTCTAGACTGGTTAACAAATCTAGGCATAACTTTCTAGTTTATACATTCCTTGTGATACTGTATCTTATTCAGACACATAAGCAGTATACCAGGATAGGTAAGAATTTTTTTTAGATAAGTTGGAATCATACTACAAATAGGGTACTTGGGTAAGTTATTTAAACTATATTTGTTCCTGTCTCACCATCTCTAAAATGTAAAAAAAAAAATGATAGCATCTACCTCAAAAGATTTACATGAGATGATATATGGACTCAAAACCTGGCACCAAATAACAACTTAGCAGCATTCCTATTGGCCCTGGGATTTCGTCACTGGGGTAAAACACAGGTACACAGTACAGTCCATGTGTGATCAATTAATGAAAAAGAAAATTCCTTAAAGAAATTTTGAATAACAAGATGATTGTGCAGATAAACTAGAAAATAAAGGAACCAAATTTCCAGAACACACTCATTCTGCCAAATTAAGCCTGATTTAAGAATTTCATTCAAAGCACTCTTAAGTGTCAGGCACTATGTTATACTCTGGTGCCACAAGAAAGGATGGATTCCATGCCAAGAAAAATAGAGAACTGAAGGAGAGTTTCTCCATATTACAAAGAGGTACCTAACCATGATTTGGTTAGAAGGTGGAATGGTGAGGAAGGAGTTGAAAAAGTCGTATCTTTAAATTAAAAAGTCATCTGTCCTACAAATCAGTATCCACCACAGCAAGAGCAGATCAATCTACACTGCACATTTTGTTATCCTCCCTTAACAAGATGTTGAGTGGTGAAATACTAAGAAAGGTATCCTGGGGCGATGGAAATGTCCTGTATCTTGTTTTGTGTGGTGGTTACACAGTATTTACAATTACCAAAACTAAAAATACTGAACACTTAAGAACACTGTGTTTTATTTTATGCTACTTACAGTACCATTAAAAAAATAGCTCAAAAAAAAAAGTACTCCCTACTTCTCTCACTGGAAAGTGTGAGCATTTAAAAGGAGCATAACCAAGATAATGGCTATAATTCCCTGTGCTACATAATATATCTTTGTTGCTTATCTATTTCATTCATAGTAGTTTGTGTCCCTTAATCCCATGCCCCTAATCTGCCCCTCCCCATTATCTTCTAATAACTTTAAATGGAGTATAATCTGTAAAAACACTGAATCATGTTGTAAATCTGAAACTAATATAATATTGTAAATCAAATACATTTAAATTTAAAAATTAAAAAAAATTGAAATAGCACAATCAAATCTATATTCATTATAAGATGAACTACAGAATGATCTGATCTCATTCAAAACATCTTAGGCAAAATATTCTTTTAACTTTTCAGTGATAGATGATGCAAAAGAAATTCTTTGAGATCACAGACTACTAGAATCCCCGAAACTCTCATTTGTTGCAGAATCCAGAAATGGACATACATATTTCAGTGGCATTCCACCTGTTGTTCAACACTATGTTTGAGAATAGTCAGTGGAAAATGTGCTTTTTTTTCACTGCTTGCCTTGGGTATGCTTGAAGAAAAAGGGCTTGGGAGGAAAAAAGGACCGGAACTACAGCGTTTTCAGCTAGAAATCCAAAACCCAGCTTCTAGCTCTAGGACTAAAGGATGCATGGCAAAGTATTCTGTGCCTGTGATCATCTCCTAACACAGGGCGTCATAGGATAAAGTGTATTAATTTGTCAGGACACTTTTGAAATGTCGAAGCAGTTTATTACTCTAAAGTGGTGTTGATGATGATACTGTAGCCAAACCCCACATTTAATCTTGACATTTGTATCTCCTTAGGAAACACTCATACACATCATTTGAACTAAAAATGTAATGTCCAAGGGGCAGAAAAAGGTAGATTACTCCGCCTCCAAATAACGGGGTGGTCTCCCCCACTACTAAACTTCCAGAAGTCTAGATTTCTGGGATTTGATCTTCCAAAACACCTGGTATAATCTAATAAATTTAAAAAGGGAAATGAGTAAATAAGGCCTATATTGAGATACGCTCTTGTGTCCCTCGTCTTGTCAACAATCAACGAGGAAATGAATTGCTCCTGGGGTACAGAAAGCCCTACTCCTAAATTATCGTGGAGTGGTAGACAAGCACTCAGCAAGCACTACCTGTATTCCTTCACACACCTCAATGCCTTCCTCAAACTGCGTCCATCCCTGGCACGAGTGAGAGCAAGGCCTCAGTGTCTTCAGATGCCCCATCACAACTCCCTCCCCCTTCCATTCCAAGTCCAGCGGCCTCCGGCCATCACACCCTTTCCTGAGCTCCCATCCCCAGGGCCGCCAGCCTCACCAGCTGTTCCCGGCGGCTGGAGCTCCGATCGGTTGGCGCCCGGCGGCCCCGAACATTAACGACACCCAGGAGCCTGGCCTCAAGGCTCAGGCCCGAGAACAGACTCCAACTTCCACAGCACCAGCGACTTCGCAGGAGCACTTCAGCATTTTGAGCTGAGCTTCCGGAAGCAGACGGGAGGCGGAAACCGGATGCCCGGAGCAACCATTAGTTCTCCTCCCCCCATCACCTCCTTCTCCTATAATCTCCTCTTTTTACTCGATGATGAGACAGAGGCCAATCATCTGACATTTTTCACGAGCAAAATTTCGTCTTTTTCTCTCTAGTGTTCCGGAAACTGAAACAGTGCGGGGGAGGAAACGTGGAGTAAAAGAAAAGTTGAACCCCCCGGGGTTGCGCCATGGTTTGGCCCGGTTGCCTAGGAGACCGAGAGTAACAGCCGCGGCGAGCTGGGCGCGCGGAGTGATGGCCACGTTAGCGCGGCTGCAAGCTCGCTCCACGAGTATGGGGCAGCAGTACTACTACAGGAACAGGTAGGCCTCCGCTCGGGGGGGCGCGCCGGGGGTGTTCCTCAGCCCGGTGTTCCTCGGCTGGAGCTTGTTCACGAATTCCCCAACTCAGCGAGTACCACCGACTTCTCTTCATAACTTGCCGGCTGCAAACATCGTCGCAAATTTTAAAGTATGTTAGCACACAGCTGGGTTATAGATATAGGGGGCATGGTTATCAGCTGGGGATGATTGAAGTAAAAGCCCAGAGTAAGTAACATTGTACAATGAAGTGTTTGTTTTTTTTTTTTTTTGACATCATCTCTTCTCAATTTGGTAAAACCTACGTCCTCCCTGTTGAAAGTTTGATGGTCTCACTGGAGTCACCCAGGCTCCTTAGCTGGGTGAGCTCAGAGTGTCTCTCATTTACCTGGGAATCTGAGCCTCCATTATGTCACAAATGCCATTCAGCTCAACTGTTCTGTGACTCATTTGTCTTCCCAAAGTGACCGTATCTAACCTCTTCTAACGAGGTAAACAGTATCGGTAAGTGAATTTATAAAAAAAAGGGGGCGAAGGAAGACACTAGCAGCCGTATCCACCTCTCTACACCTAACCTTCTCACTCAGGAAGAGGTTCATTTTAGTAATGGCCTTCTGGAAGCAGTACCCCAGGAGATGTTCCATCTTAAGAGAAACTCCAACAAAAGTGAATTGGGCAATAGTACAATACAGTGGCGTGTCAGTACATGCGGACAAATATGCCAATAAAACACAATCCTTTTGAGCTGTTCTTATTCTAACATTTATCTCACCTGCTGTATTCTTAGAACAGCGTGAACCTCTCCTACAACAGTCATCACAATTTAATTTTGCATTCTGTTGAGAGATAATACATGAAATATGTATATATTGTCCCTCTTAAAGTAGAAGTGGGGTTTTGCTCATTATTATTTTAGTCTCCAGTGTCTCATAGTTCCTGATACATCATAGCTGCACAATAATTATTTGTCTAGTAATTCCATAAATGAATCTTTCAATCAGTCATTGGCCCTGGTTTACATAAATGTACTAAAAATAGCTAAAGATAGAAATTATTTATTTATCACATATATTATCTATAATTGTTAGTAAGTTATGTGGCGGATGCTCTATTTATGGCATACATATCTAAAAGAAATAAAATCCATTCCTTTTATGTTCACAGACTAATATAGAATATAGGCATTTAAAAGATTATTGCAGTGGAGTAAGCAGGAACCGGAAGGGAAACAATCGACATTTCTTGGGCTCTGATTATATGCTGGGCAGTGCACTAGGAACTTTTTCATATAATACTCATTTGATTTTCACAACTTTACAAGTTAATGTATTCATACAAGTTAATGTATTCATCTATATTTTTAGAGCTTGAGAACAGTGTGCTAGAAAAACCTGGTGAAGTGCCACACAATTGCAAACAGATCGTTTTTTTCCTACAGATTTCAGTGTTACTCTTTGTCCCCATCTCCTGGCTTTTGACAGTGGGTACAGTTCCCCAACACTGGAGATTGCTTGGAGAAAAAAACTAGGGCCATGCAAAGGCCGTGATGAGAATAGGCTGGCATGCCTTTTATTTCATTTATTATTATTATTCGTATTTTCAGCATGAAGAAATGTATCTAAAGATCACGAAGGAATCAGAATTCCCAAGTTTGCCTAGTTAAAGAACAAAGCAAATATTGAGAGCTGTAGGAGCAAAAACCATAAAAATGTTAATATATATGAAAAAAATAAACAGGCAATTTCCTTAAGAAATTATCATCATCTCCCATTTGTTATTGACTAAGTAAGTTCTTTGCAAACTTCAGTGTACATCAGAATCCCCTTAGGATCTCATTAAAATGAAGATTCTGATTCAGTGGGTCTCAGTTATGGCCAGTGAATCTGCATTTCTCACTAGAGTTCCTGTTAGGCCCAATTTTGCAAAAATAAAGGAAGACATTGTGGGGAAAAAAAAACCTGTGTATCTAATTCTTAAATATCCATACAAGTTATATATTTACTCCTTCTTTACATGAGGCAAGGAGAGTGAGATTCAGATAGACTGGAAACTTATATGAGGTCATACAGCTACTAAGTCTCAAAACCAAAAAACCTACCTCTAAGGCTTAGGCTCTTCAATACCACACTGGACAAGATTTCCTTCCCACTACACTGGTCTGATGAATTAAGTGACAGGAAGTATCAAGATCCAGAAACCAAATAGCCTGAGCATGCTGTTCCAAATCCGCTAGCCTGTAGGCAATAGAGTTGGAGGAAACAATTTGACTCTTCTTGGTTTGTTTTAATGTCTTCCTTCTATGTTGGTACCAAGACAGTGGCAAAAATGTTTCTACCTAACATCTAGCATTGGAATGCCTCTGAAGTTGAAAGATGAATTTATTGGGGAAAATTATGCTATTACTAAGTGCTTAGATTGGCACCTGAGTCCTCCAGCGCTTCTCTGCCTAACATAGGGAGAAGATTTGGAACTCCCAAGAAGTGAGATGCAAATGCAGTCATAGCGGATGTGATGAGAGAGCTAAGGGGCCTGGGTAGGTTTGCACATTTTCAGACTAACCCAAATGCCCTGGAAAGTTATTCACACAAGAAATGTTTGGTGGGTGGTCAGGTTTTGGTCTACTCATCAAAGAGGCTGAATGTTGTGTCGAGGTTGTTACAGGGTGGCATAGAGATAATACACAGTTGTTATTTGACCAAGTACTGGTCTTTTTTTTTTTTTTTAAACTTTCACTGTTTCACTGTTTCACTGTTTCTAGAGTTATTTCTGTTCTCTTTGTGGCTTATTTGTCATTTATGCTATCCTATTTGTGGAAAGAAGAGTTTGGTATGTGTTCATTAATCATATTATTAATTTTCCCAGTATCCTTATTTAAATTTTGTCTGGTTAATCTGTCAAACCCCAATAGGAATGAGTTCAAAATGTCTCTCTCCCACTGGCTTCCACTGAGTCTCCACTGAGTGGCATCTTTTATGTTA